ACTAAAAACATAATCCTTTTTACTAATATTTTGTTAACGTTGGACATAAAAATTTGTAACTATATGACATAATATAGAATTGATCAATAAGTCACTTATGCGAAGTTAGCCCCCAATTAGATAGGATTTTATATGTATAGTATTTTGATTATAACAAGAGAATCAGTTAACCGATTTCGATAAACAATGTCTCATTCGAAAGCATTCGAAACCAAGGATTATGGCCAATACGAAAGTGGAAATGCCCGATTCAAAATCTCTTTCGAATTCCGCTAGAACGCCAAAATAATGCAAAGATACACGAAAATAACACAAAAATAGCTCTGTGAACCTGGAACCCGAGTTTACGATGTTTTGGTTTTATTAGTACCATTCGATAGAGAATCGTTTGTACCCGTTTGTACTACTTTCGATTTCGATTGTATAAATCCATGTTGCATGTTATATTATACTGGGTGTCACACAAAAAACGCCCTAAGCTGTAACTCTGTTATTTACATTCCGATTTTTATGGCCTAGGTATCAAATGAAATGGTTTTATAAATACTATGATTCATGCTACAAATAATTTTTTCCAACGCCATCTTCAATTTTAACTTATTATTAACTTTTGTTTTTCAAATTGCTGCCTATATTTTTCTTCACGTCATTGGATAGAGATTGTTCTTCTGAATCCATTGATGTACAATACATCCATTTTGAATGTAAGTTTAGCAGAGAAAAGACACCTGTAGATACAGGTTGTCACACAAGAAAGCCGCAAGCTGTAATTCTGTCATTTACATTCCAATTTTCATGAGCGAGGTATCAAATAAAAAAGTTTGCTGAATACTATTCATGCTACAAATAAACTTTTTCCAACGCCATCTTCAATTTAAAGCGATTATCAACTTTTGATTTTCAAATTGCTCGGTAAGTTTTTCTTCACGTTATTAGATAGAGATTTTTTTTCTGAATCCATGAATGTACAATACATCAACATTAATTATAATAATTATACTACTATTATACTACTTTCCTCTACTACAATTATTGTAGTAGAGAAAAACATTAAAATAGTTTCCGAACATTCTCTTAAAGTCACTTGTGGTATACTGTAGTGTGCCATGGGAAAAAATAAAAAAAAACAACTTATAAGTATCATTTACAACTGCTTCGGGCATTAAAATAACATTTAATGACTGTTATCAGTTTTGCCCGTTATTTTTTTCTATGGCACACTAGAGACAATGTTCGGAAAATGTTTTAATACCACCCGAATAAACCGGTTACATATTAAAATCGTTTGAATAAAACGATGGTAAAATCGGAAAATTATTATTTTATTTGTTTAGTTTTTCTTTTCTTGCTTTTTGATAGGAAGGAGTATAATGGGGTGTAAAAAGTATCAACTTGATCGTTGAGATTTATTCTTTTATTTTTCCTATGTTTATCGATTTCAAATGTTTAGAAAAAATCCAGTTTAAACCCTTTCTCGCATTTATGTAACAATTTCGTGTTATCGAAGTCGATAATATGACCAGTTAATTGACTGTGTTTGAATATGTTAGAATTCGTTTTTATTTTATGCTCCTGTAGTCTCTATCGAATGGTACTAATAAAACCAAAATATCGTAAANTAAAAATCGGAAGTTAAATGACAGAGTTACAGCTTACGGCGTTCTTGTGCGACAACCTGTATATACAGGTGTCTTTTTTCTACTAAAATTACATTCAAAATGGATGTATTGCACATCAATGAATTCAGAAACACAATCTCTATCTAATGACGTGAAGAAAAATATATGGAGCAATTTGAAAAACAAACGTTAATAATCGCTTAAAATTGAAGATGGCCTTGAAAAAGATTTATTTGTAGCATGAACCATAGTATTTATCAAACCATTTCATTTGATGCCTCGGCCATGAAAATCGGAATATAAATGACAGAGTTACAGCTTGGGGCGTTTTTTGTGTGACACCCTGTATATGGGAAAATGTATATGTATATATACATATAAAAATATAAAAAACTTCTTTCTTGCTTATATTTTAAATATCTATTGGAACCGGTTTCGACACATAAAGGTCATCATCAGCCAAATTCTTTGCAAGCGAAAAATAAAAAAGGAAATCACATCAAAATCTTATTTCGTTATAAAAATTATATAACATACGTCATAAATGAAGAAAGTGCTAACGTTGAATTTTATAAAAATAACACATTGAATATTAAAATATTAAAATTTAAATAAATAAACTATGGTAAAATGTTAAAATTAAATAAATATGTTACAAATTATAATGAAACGTACGACAAGGCGAACACAGCACACAATAATGGAAATTTTACATGAAAGTAAGTACACCACCCGAATAAACCGGTTACATATTAAAATCGGTTGAATAAAACGATGGTAAAATTGGAAAATTATTATTTTATTTGTTTAGTTTTTCTTTTCTTGCTTTTTGATAGGAAGGAGTATAATGGGGTGTAAAAAGTATCAACTTGATCGTTGAGATTTATTCTTTTATTTTTCCTATGTTTATCGATTTCAAATGTTTAGAAAAAATCCAGTTTAAACCCTTTCTCGCATTTATGTAACAATTTCGTGTTATCGAAGTCGATAATATGACCAGTTAATTGACTGTGTTTGAATATGTTAGAATTCGTTTTTATTTTATGCTCCTGTAGTCTTAAATCAAGTCTACGACCTCTTTGTCCAATATATAAACTATTGCATTCTTTACAATTAACTTTATAAACTCCAGAATCTTGGAGATTATTTTTATTATGTTTTCAATGATGATTTGATAACAAGTTTAGAATTGTTCTTCTATTACTATAGGCCAATGGTATACCATACTTAGCAAGGATCTTATGGGCTTGTTGAGAAGTATCAATAAAAGTAATAGGTTTGTAAATGTTATTCTTTAAGGGTTTAGTATATAAAACACCCTTAGTTATTGTAATCTCATTTAAAAGGTTGTCAATTATATTGTTTGAAAAACCATTTTGTTTAGCTAAGCAATAGATATAATTGAGTTCTTTAACACGATTTTCTTTTGACAATGGGTAATCCAGAGCTCTATTAATTAAATAACGGAAACTTGCTATTTTTTGATGAAATTAGATTTTGATGTGATTTTCTTTTTTATTTTTCGCTTGCAACGATTTTGGCTGATGATGACTTTTATGTGTCGAAACCGGTTCCAATAAATATTTAAAATATAAGCAAGTAAGAAGTTTTTTATATTTTTATATGTATATATACATATACACTTTCCTATATACTTTCGATTTCGTTTGTACCTCAACCGGTTCCAAAATACAGCGATTTTTTGATTTTTCAGAATACCGTTGAAAGTGTGTATCCCCGTTATTAATAGAGATATCGCAAAACGGTAGATGGAATTCGATAAAGATTCGTTTATACTCGTTCGTACCACTTTTGTTTTCGTTTGTACCTCAACAGTTTCCAAAATACAGCTTTTTTTTAATATTAGTGGAAGCCCCGGGTCTCGGTCTCGGTGGTTCCCATACTTTTCAAGTACATAAGACTAAAACGTTTGGGTCGTAACCGTTCTCAACTCTAGCAGGTGTGGCCTGGTATGCACTGTTTAATGTTTTGATGATTTATATCGAACACGAGAAATACGTGTTTGTGTGGATAAGTCTACACAAACACGTGTTTGTACACAAGACAACATACTACCAGGTATTTTCGCTTTGCTTTTCACTTTTTGTCACATTTGTCATTATATCACCTCCGTCGGTAATCCTCACTGTGAAACGTTATTAAAGTTAATTCTTAGATGTGCTATCATAGGTCGTATTTTTAATACTTAATTAGCATATAATGTTTGGAATGAGGCAGTTATAAAAATGGATAACAAAATATCAGCTAAACACAAGACATGCTACGAAAATTTCATAATGTTAATCAAAAAGCCAATACATCATTAGATATAGCAAATTCCGAAATGAATAGTACCGGTGGTTCAAATTGGTCGATGAATATATTCCGAGACGGGTTAGTGCTTCTTAGAGCGACAATTACTATTTCAGGCGACGATTGGAACAGTATTCGACCTGTTAGTAGAATTTATAAGGGTAGGGCGTATAATGTATTAAGACAAGGCTGGACTGATGTAATGCAGAAACAATTGTGGCAAGAACATCGGTTGCCATGTTGCTATGCTTTCAAAAATCCAAAAGTTAACTTAAATCCAGGAGAATCATGGTTATGGATTAAAGGTTTATGTATCGAATGTGGTGAAGGAATTGATTTGTACGCGCCAGACAAACAGATGACCATATCACGCTCCAAATTTCAACAAGTGATACAAAAAATATTGAGCATAAAAAAAAAGCGTCAATTACGAGGTGTACTTAGACAACGAGTAATAAAAGACGTTACTGCTCAGTCAACCTATGCTTGGTGTAGACAGAAAGCCAATGAACTTATGGATTTTGAAGATAAAGTTTCCGCGTATTTGTACAACGAAAATGTTTTACGTAAGGTAAAGCAAACAGCAAACTGACCGGGAATTAGGACTTTGTAGAGGCATCGACCTTTTTCAATCAGTGCATGAATTGAAATATCGTCCTGAATTTACAGGTACTATTCGGGACATTGGCTACGATACATTTTTTGCATTGTATTGTGTGACACAAAAAAAAATAAATAAAGAAAAATGGAACTAGAATCCTGCCACGTCCTGGTCGTTAATTGTGGCTTACGCAATGTGCAGGAGAAAAAAACCCAAAAACGAAAGCGGTACAAAGAAGTACAAACGATTCACTCTCGTACCACATCGACCCTTTTGCGATATTTGAATTAATAACGGAGATACACACTTTCAGCGATATTCTGAAGAATCAAAAAATCGCTGTATTTTGGAATCGCTTGAGGGACAAACGAAAACAAAAGTGGTACAAACGATTATCTATCGAATTCCATCGACCGTTTTGCGATATCTGTATTAATAACGAAGATACACACTTTCAGCGATATTCTGAAGAATCAAAAAATCGCTGTATATTGGAACCGGTTGAGGTACAAACGAAATCGAAAGTGGTACAAACGGGGACAAACGATTCTCTACCGAATGGTATTAATAAAATTAGAATATCAAAAAGTGGGGTTCCGGCAATTTTTCAAAATTTTTTTTATCTGTTTAGATCCTGAGGTGATACAAACGAAATTAAAGGTGGTACAAACGAGTACAAACGATTCTCTATCGAATGGTACTAATAAAACCAAAATATCATAAACTCGAGTTTCAGGTTCACAAAGCTCAGAAAAATGACCTTTTTTAAGTGGTGATAACTCGTAAACGATGTACCCGATGATCAAGATCTATACGTCATTCGGTTCGTCATAGTTTCTTCTATCGAAATCACGAAAAGCCCGATTTAAATTCTTTCCCGTTAACCTTGTACAGCCCTCGGAATGACACCGTGTTCGGCTCGTTGTTTATGCACGTATGAACGCCCAAAAGTACCAATATAAAAAAATTTATTTAAACTAAATCGACTATAATTAAACGGTTTGACGGATTTTAATGTTTTATACCTCAATCGAAAGTTTGTGTCTGGCTGAATGCGGTTGTCGAAATGCCCGATTCTAAATATTTAACGATTTTGATTAAAACACAAAAAACGAATTAATCAAACACATCAATTATTTCTTTAACTAATTAACCAATTTTAGTTGTCAACATCTCGATCAAAAGTTTGATCTACAATTAATGCAAAGGCGGAAATGAGAGATTTCAAAACTTACTAATTACCTGCGTATGGCTATTGAAATGACCCCGCGAATCTGCCGACTGGAAGTCTAGCACCAATAAGAAAAAAATAATTTTAATTACATTCGCTATAACTAAAGAACGGTTTGACGGACTTTAATGTTTTACATCTTAAATGAAAGCTTGCATCTGGCTGAATGCATATGTCGAACTGCTCGATTCGAAATATTTAAGGATTTTGATTAAAATACAAAAAACTACTTAATCAAATAAGTTAATTATCTCCTTTATTAATTGCCCGATCTCTAAATTTGCTAATTAAGTACGTACCATTTAAACATACAATTAACAATCAAAATATTAGAAAACGCAATATTAAAAAACGCAGTAGTTCACCAAAACCTCTTAATAAGGAAATAAACCATACAAAAAGTAATAAAAATATAAACTATTATAATCCTTCTGAAAATATCCACAATAGCTCTATATCTAATAATAATGTAAATCTAAATGTAAGGGAACAAGGGGATGCTAATAGTTACAATAAATTTAACGGCCAAAATAGCGAAAACACATACAACACCAATAATAACAAATCCAAAACATCATTTTGCATAAAAAGAATTAATTTTAACAGCCTTATGTTGAAAATTGATCTGAGTGATATTACTAAATACAAATTTGCCCCTAGATTTACCCTCTTTTTTAAGAATAATAATATAAGAAAGTTAAAAGAAGACCCAACAATAAAATACAAAAATAGATTAAAAAAGTTGATAAAGGATAATCATATACAACTGAACTACTTTAATATAACTCCTTATAACTCAAATGTCATGAACCCGTTGACACCTGACCTAAAGTCTTATATAAAATTACATAAAAAAGACTTGAGCATCCGTCCCATAATACGAAATACTAACACACCTACTAGTAGAATTGCTAAAAAGATTCAAAAATTCCTTCATGAATTCTTTAAAGACGAATCTCAATTTAACATTAAACGTTCTACTGATTTAATTAAGAAATTAGAACAAGTTACACCCTCGAAAAATTAACGATTAATATCATTTGATATAAAAAATATGTATTCAAATATACCAATAAATGCCTCTATCAATATTATCAGGGAACAACTAATAAATAACACGTATACACTAAAACTTGATTCGGAAAATATAACTTCATTTATAGAGATTCTAAAAATAGTCAAACAACAAAACTTTTTTATCTTTGAAAACGATTATTTCGAAATGAACGATGGATTCCCAATGGGCTCCCCCATATCGGGTATTATGGCAGACATTTACTTCAGTGCTTTAGAAAACCTTATATTTACTGATAAATACAAATTAATTAACCATATTAACCGTAATATGATTTTTGATGGTAACAATGCTCAAATAATAGCACTGAAAAATATTTTCGATAATCTATGCAATCTGAAATTCACTACAGAAATAGAAACTGAAAGTAAACTGAACTTTTTTGAGCTTATTCTAATTTTAATTTCATGTTGTATAGACTAATGAATTACCCTCTGAATGATGAAAACATAAATAAAGAAATAAATAAAATACTTAATATAGGTGTTCACAAGAACTTCAAAATTTCGGAACTTCAAAAAATATTCAATATACCTCACAAACGACTCATTAACAAGTTAATATATCCACATCATAAATCTGTCAATCAATATTTAGCCATCCCCTACAACCCCAATCTAGAATTTAAAATAGGAAAAAACCTAACCAAATTTAACTTTATCCCAGTAACGTATAATGCGGAAAAACAAAACAAAAATATTCCCTTTTCTATTGTCTTGCTTACATCTTACGTTAACACTTTAATTATAATGCTCATTCATTATAACAAACTCTGTTCACTGAATAACACAAATCTCAAGTTGCGTGCAAATACCGCTGGTGGTGCCCATTTCAAAATTCCCGGTTGGGGATTGTAAAGCGTATACCTTGATTGTAAATACGTATATATTTTTAAAATAGTACTGTTGCAAAGAGGAGAAATTAGACCCTTATTTCTAACATTTAGTTTGTGAATATCCGTTCTGAACCTTATCTTATCACTTATCACTTAAATAACGTGGTTCTCGCAATATTAAAAGTTTATCAAGACAAGGACCATATACAGTACTACCATAATTAGAATTACTAAGTATTAAACTGTCACATAATCTTATCTTATTTGATGTCGTTAACAAATATCTACTATCATATATCATTTTCAGAGCAGCAAACGATTTCGTAACTTTACTAGTAATATATTCACGGAATCTTAAATCGCTATCAAGCATTAAGTCCAAGTTGCGAGACGTGTCACTGACCTTTATTGGTTTGTTGTTAATATTTACGAAGATAGAGCTAGTATACTTCATACGTGTTTTTTGCCTCCCAAACAGTATCACCACAGATTTGTCTGGGTTCACACTCAGGAAATGTTCTGTGGATATGTCAATCAAACTAAGACTGGATTAGCGCTTGAGAGTAATATAGTATATTACTCTCAAGCGCTAATCCAGCCGAGGTTATACTTTCAGGACAACTGTAATGCTTTCGGAAGCCGGATTGTGTAGATGGTAGGATATCATACTTGTTCAAGAATAAACTTATTTGGAAATGCATTCTTTTTTTTAATTACCTTTGATATTGCCGGCAAAGTACTAATTGGTATTAATTCATTATATGTCTTCTTTGGCAATGGTGTCACTAGTGCCGTTTTCCAACACGATGGAAATACTTTGTTGGAAATATAATGAAACAATCTGGAGGGGTTTACCAGATTTTGGTATCATTATCATTTCAGCAACTTTCTATATACTTGGGAAATATTTTTGTTTAAAAACAGCATTAATTATGTGTAATAGTTTTGTAATCGCCCGTTTTGGGAAATGTTTCAAAGTTTCTCTATAAAGTAGGTCATAGAATGCTGTTTGCGAAAGAAAGAAAGAACAACATTTATTTGGACTTATTACAAATACGAATAAATTTGAAAAGAAAAATACATATATAAAACAAATATACGATAGATCCAAAAGGGCTATAGACCTGAGTCTTCCTGCCCGTGACTTGAATTGTGTTTGGTTTTCGGTCTTCTCAGTTGGGCCTTATTTTTTTAAGCAGTGTGAGCCGTGTGATGGGACAGTGGGTGAGGGAGAGGGGAGAGATGATAAAATTCTTTAGGTGTTTATGGGGAAGTTTATAATTGCTTTATGGAATAAGGATTGTAGACGGGAGTTTATAGGAGGAATCTTTGTATGGTCGTATAGAAGTTCGTTAGAAGGGCGAAAAGTGGGTTGTGAAGGTGTCTAATGTGAGTGATGATTCTCAGGGCTGCTCTCTCTGCTACCTCCAGATGGTACTGTGATCCTCTTAGCGCTTCAGTCATGATTAATGAAGCATATTCGATAATAGGTCGACATATTGAAGTGTATATGTGAGTAGCGCATTTGGTGGATATTTCTCGGCCTCTATAGGAGCGGAAGTGTGTGGCGCGGTTTTTGACCTTCATTTTTACTTTAATGGCGTGGGCAGAGAATTTAAGGGTTATATCCAAGGTAATGCCGAGGTAATTGCAAGTTGGTGAAGCTGTGATAGGAGAAGATTGAATTATTATTGTGGGTGAAGCAACACGAGCAGGGAGGAAGGGGATGAAAAATTGGGTTTTGGAAGGATTTATTAGGATACGCCACTTTCGGTACCATTCCTCTATGTATGGAATAAGCGGCTGCAACCTTAGGACTGATGATGGAA